AAATTAATTCAGGTGTAGCATCTAAAACTTTAAAAATATTTATCCATAGACATCATTATGTAGACATAACGCAAAAAATTTTGATTATTATAAATTTTTCAAAATGGGAGAAACGTAATTTGCCATTTTAGGAAATGTGACTATTCCCTCTTTATTTCATTATCTACAAATTTTATAGTTCTAATTACAGTGATTATTTTTAGTTTGTGCCAATAAGTTCTACAAACACCTAATATTGGTAACACTTCAAAAGATGGATTCAATCTCTTAACTGCTTTTTTCCTTTATGGTCTCTTTTAATGGTACATGCTCATTTTTTGTTAGCTGATAACTTAAAAATATCCTTACATTCTTTAGAATTTTCAAATGAATACTACCTGGTTTTTCTAATGTGCTACAACCTATTTCCTTGAGATGTTGCCTCACCTTTTAAAAATACCTTCAAAAGTACCTTTTGTTACTTGCGAATGTCATTCTAGTATAAGACCTCTGTTTTCTCTTTACAACTTCTATAGTAAAGAAAGGATTTCCCCTCTTTTTTAATTGTTTCAGTGGATCAACAAGGCCCATTGGGTTGCTTATGAAGGTCTCAGAAAGAAAAGATGACTGTGACAAACTATGAGCGTTAAATGCTACTATACATGATACAATTAAAATTTTAAAATTTCGCTGAATGACACATAATCGTAACATAAATGTAAGTTATGGAAGTTATATAAGCACAGCATAAATGATGTATACTGTGCAATTTTTAAAACATTCCTTTCTTGATATATTTTATCACAAAATAGAAAAGTGCTTATGCACATATATCTGCAATTTTAAAAAGGGACTTAATGACTCAGATTTTATGAAGGGAAAAAAATGTCAAGTTAATAAGACTTAGTGAAAAAAAAGACTGAAAACAGAATTTATTATTCATAATGGCAAAATACATTTGCTATATTTATGTATTCAGTACAGACTTTCCCATGTGAAGTTCTTAAACGATTTTGCAGTCAAATATTACTACCCATTTTGTAGATTAAGAAAAGTGGTGGGGGATGGTTATGGGAATAGGGGATGGGTATCAAGTAATTTATGGAGGATGACACAGTGGACGAGTAAAGGAACTGGGAACAAATAATAGTTTCTGTGTGCTAAAAACATTGCCTTCCCATATGTATCACTGACATTTTGCACAAATGTCGATAAACATGTCAACAAACGTTAATTTAAAAGCCTCTTTTACATCGTTCTAATGTTAATATGTTAATATGCTAGTATACACATGTGTGTGTATGTAACACATACATATTTTATATATAAAACACATTTATAGTTTACACACACACACACACACAAGACTCAGATGGGTTTTGATGTAACTTTGCCCCTTCATATGATTTTAAAGGTCTTTATAAATGATCCTCCTTAGAAAGCTTCTGGGAAGTAATAGGGCATATTACTCAGGCAGATAGTACACTTAGATTTGAAGTAAACTTGTAATACCTTTTAAAAAATCTGGAACCAATCTTTAGAACAATCTGAAAATGTTACCTAAAATTGTAACACAGTATAGATAAGTAAAAGAAAGTAAAACATATGTTAAAGATATATTTTTTTAAATCATGAAGACTGTTTTCTTTGAAATTGGTTTAGACTCCAGATTGCAACTTTGACACTATGACTTAAAACATACCAAAGAGATTTATGTTTTGCAATTGACATTTTAAATTGAAGATTTACTTGAACTGGTACCTAATATGTTTTGTGTAATTAATTCCTTTGAGGTCAGTTTTCATAGACACAGGACTCCTTTAACATTAATCCCTCCTTTAGCAATATCTTTATTGTTGGAATTTGCAATTGAAAAAAAAAAGTTAATCTTTTTCAAAGGAGGTTTTCAGTCCCAGGTATTTTATTTGTTTCACTGACAGAAGATTTTCTTAAAAATGCAAAATATCTTAAAAGGGGATGCTATGGAGTCAGTGTAAGAAAAAAGGTGGAAATTAAATAAATCAGGCATTAATAAGACATGGAAATTTTAATTATATGCTTAAGTTCTTAATGAAGGGACTGAATAATGGAGGGTCTGTCTCATTTTAAACTTTAGACTATTATTCAAGTTATCTGTACACAACACTTAAAACTCATAAGCCTTATATATTTATCTTTTCTATTTATTTATGGAATTTTGCATAAATTACCTCGTGGATAACATAATTTGATGGATGATGGTGTTCAATAAACTGTTGTTGCATGAATGACATTTTGATTGTAGCTTAATTTCCAGTTTTGATTTAAGAATGGGAAAAATATAGCTAAAAGTTGGGACATAAGTAACTGAGCAGATAGTGGTTTGCTATCCCCCAAATAAATTTTATTAAGCAAGAAAATGTTTTCTAATTAGGCATGCTTACATATTCCCAGTTGTTAATTATGTTCTCTTGTGTTGGCAAATGAAAGACGGAAACACAATTTTCCTTCTTTAGCATCTCTGTTGCCTTTATCATATATA